CCGCGCCCCCCGCGCACCCCCTCTCCAGCCGCCTGCACGCGCACACACGCACACACACCCTCGGGCGCTTTTCACGCGGTTCTCGGAGGAGCCAGAAGTTCGGAGCGAGCGCGGGCGGGGAGAGCCTCCACCTCGGAGCCGGTCCGATCCCCCGTCCCCCAAGCCGCCCCCCGGCGCCAGAACCCCCAGAAGCCGGCCCGGGGTCTGCGCTGACTTGTGCTGCTGGTGGGAGTTTCGCTCTTTCCCAAAGATGAAAGAGGGAACGGTCGTCTTTGCAGCTTCTCCAGGACTGTTGCTGTTGCTGCCGCCGCCGCCGTTTCATTGCACATTCAAGTGGAAAATTTTCAGGAGTCAGCAGAAACATTGTGTCCAAAAAGGACTGAGTCGCAGTTACCACCAAACCCAGGAGGAGACTCTCCCTGGAAAACTTCCCTTCGGTAGGAAATACTGGGGGATTTGTTTGTTTATTGGAAGAGAAATGATCCCCAGAAGGGGAGAAAATCAGGGTACACTTCTAGTCTTTGTTCGTAGCAGCAGCACTTGTTTTCAGAAGTCCAGAGGCCCGCTTTAAAGAAAGTTCAACTTATATGAGTTTCCTTAAAAAATGTGTTTGTATTTTTTAAAAGCCAAAGCAGCATTTTTAATGAGTAAAAAACAGAGGGACTCATGCTTTATCTTCCTCTCAGAAAATAAAATCCACATCAGAGTTTTCTTTGCTTTTTGTCTTTTTTAAAGATTTATTTAAAGTTGAATGGTGTCACTGTATAAAAATATTTATGAAACAATGAAATACCAGAGTTTCTCAGGAGGCTTGTTAACTTCTTAGAAGCAAGTGGCTTCCTGTGATTTGCAGAAATGAAAATTGACCTCAGTGAGCCTTGGAAACTTAAGAGACAGATGATGTTCCCGGAGCAGGGAATGTAAAAAGGCTGTATTTAAAAACAGTGCCTTGGAAGGAGCTCAGGTCTGTAAAGCCTGTCAGATTTGAAAATATTAATGGTAAAAAAATAAATAAAATAAAAATGCTACAGATATTGCGAAGGGGCAGAACACTATCAGTTCATGGCAATCACAAGTTTCTTTCTCTCCACCTTCCTCCACCTGGATTGTTTTGGAAGTTTAGGAGGTCTGATGGCTTGGGGTGTGCTGAGTACCTGGAGACAGACACATCTTTACTTGGCATAGACACATCCTTCCCTTCAGGGGGAAGTGGTCCACTCCCTAGAGAGCTTGGAGTGGGCTTCTTTCTCTCTGCAGCACGTAGTGATCTTGCCAGTCTCTTACCTGGTGGGGTTCTCTGCTGGCATACTCTGAGGCAGAGGTTGGGGAACAGGGTGCTTCATCCATCCTTTCACTGTTGAGTTTGTGCCCTTCTGTAAATAGCAGGATCTTTGGACCTAAGCACATATGAATGCTTATAAGGGCCAGACTTGGATCTAACTTTGCTAAGAGTCTTTCCTCTTTAGAAGGAAATAGTAGAACTAATTACAAAGTGACTCAGGAAAGACAAATGGATTAGTTGAACCGTTGTCAACAGTGCGCTTTTGAATTGTTGATTATTTGGGGGGAAAAGGCTTATTTTTCTAATCTGGCTATTTCCATAAATGGTCACAGATATTTTTGTTTAGTATTTCTTTGTGTGTGTTATTCTGTGTTGAACTCTCAGGTTTCAGGTTTTAAACAGAGTTTACAATTCTTTTATTTATAGTTGGTATAAAAAAATGAACTGATAAGCTGTATCTATTACCAGTTCTAGCAGATGGTGTAAGTGCCAAGGTAGACCATTTTATTTTTACTTGAGTGGTAAGTAAAAAAAACTGGATCTGCATTTTTAGGGAGGAGTATTAGAATTTTTTTCAAACACGTTTCCAACAAAATGAATGTGACTCTTTGCTTTGACAATACAAGTTAAAAAAAATTATAAGAAACAATCTTTGTGTAAATTCCTTCTGTGTGATTCTTTATAAAGTAACGAGCTCCAGGGAACATGCCTGAGAGAGATTATTGGAGGTTTTTTTTCCCAAAACAAAAACTAGGACTCACCACGACATATACTTAATGAAATTTAATTTAAAGAAAGAGGACGTCCTAGCTTAGTTTGAGCCAGACTGAAATGAATTTCTCACTGAGAGGCTCTTCCTTGCATTGTGGTACAATATGCCCAGGCCCCAGCAGCAAGCTAATTACACATAAGGGCGGGTTTGGAAGGGTAGTCTGGGAGGAATCAGCTTCCTCCTTCCCTTCTCATTTCATTTCCTCCCCCCCCCCCCATTTGCTTTATACAGTAAGAATTACATACTCATATACTCACGTTGGAGACTGGCGTTTCCTTTTATTAGAAAAAGGACAGATAACTCACAAGGAAAAAAATGTACAAGTGTTTTCTTGCTGAGCTTCAGCAGTTTATAAACAATTTTGAGTTCTGTTGGTTCTGACAGTAACAGGGCAGCCAGTGTGAGGACATTTCTTACAGGGAAAATTTGGGAAGAATATACTTAAGGTGTACCAACCATGTTTAGATTGTATTTGTCATCACATTTCAGCGGGAAAGTATGTAAAGTGAGCAGTCTAGAGAACATAGATGCCAAATGTTAAATAGCCCTTTGAAGATAGGAACTGTGCCAGGAACAGTGTTTTAAGGTCACTTGCTTCTGAAATGGATTGATCTCTTACACATGGTGGTCGTACAAGAACCCGCACATCTGTGGGATTACTTGTCTCTCTAATCTCATGGTTATTATAAATAGTGCACGCAATTATACTACCTGCACATGAAAACTGGGGTGTCTTATCACTTAAAAGATGGGTGCAAATAACTGTATGATCTGGTGGATTTAAAAATTGACCATGTTCACATACAGACAATATGCGATAACAGTTTTAAACGTATATTTCAGGCACTTTTTCTTGTTCCCAATGAAGAGATTGTGAGAGGAAAAATTATTACATACCGAGGGTGGAAAAATTTATACGCATTTTAAGAAAGGGAAAAAACTATTAAATTTGTAGCACTCAAGTCACAGCTTTTGTAATTGTGAGAGGGGCTCCACATGACCTGTATTCATCTTTTGCTATTGACATATACTGTCACAATTTTGATAGTTTTTTCCCTTTCTTAGAATGTGTATACATTTTTTTTGGTACACCCTGTGTATTTCTGAGTGAAAGTTGTGTTTAGAGGTTGAACCCATTGAGTGATAAAACTTTTAGGGGTGTGTTTTCTCCAAAGACTGAAAAATACAGGCCAAAGCAAGTGTCCAACTTCCTCCGTAGAACTACAAGAATATCTGAGCCGACCTTTCTGTTAAATCCAGGCATTACAGCTTCTCCTTTGGAGTTCAGTGACTGGAACTGCACACTGCTTATGCCCTACTTTTGAACTCAGCAGGAAAAATATAAGGCTTATTCCCCTTTGATAAACTGAGCCTGTGCTGCTGGGCTAACTTGGGGACTGACGAATGGCTAGCACAGTCATTTATAACCGTGTGATACTTTTTCTTAATTTTATCTGTAGAAGACACAGATTACCTTTAAAGATATTTAAATTAGATCCCAAATCGTGTTTGAACATCAGTGAAAAATTTTCGGAGTCACCAAGGCGATAAAATTCAGGCCCATCCTAAGCACCTCATTTTTTTCAGGATTGGGCTTTTTGACAGGTAATCGTCTAATTCAGACCCTGTTGTGTTGCAGTTCTACAGGGAAAGTTGCAGTTATTGTGTACATTCTGGGCTCCCTTCGGGTAGTTTGTGGCATGCTAGAATATTTGGATCTAAATATTTGGACTCTTTTTCTGTGGGTTTTGTTTTGTTTCAAGCTGTGAACTATTGAATCCTCTGTCTGTAAGATCTGCATTATAAGCTTCCTTGACCCTGTTCTGTATTTGAAATTGGAATTGAAATTTAGATACCATTTATTCAGATGCATTCAGGCTTTGTAGTGGTGCAGAATAAATATGTATTTTTATTTTAGTCAAAGCAAATGGGATGCCCTGGTGGGTGGGTTTTCTAGACAATATTTCGTACAGGATGGGTTACTCCCTACACTTAAGTTTTCTCTTTTTGTCTGTGACTTTTTGCATAGTTGGGAGGATTCTCAAAAAAAATAGTTTCCATAGTCTGGGAGTCCTGGCTAATTGTGAAACACACTGCTCTATCTTCTGATTGGATAATGGTGTGTGTGTGTGTATGTATGTGTGTGTGTTTGGGGGGGGGTCCTATAAGAGGCCATTTTTTTTTTTCTACTTTTGTGGCAGGGCAAGGGAGGACTGTGTTGCCCGACCCTCTCCCAACCCCTGTTGTTTCAACTTATTCTGCTGTGGTGCTTTCTGCCCTTTTTCATGATTCACATTAGTTTTTAAGACTCTGTCTTAGGATTTCATTAGCAGTTTTAATTTAAAGGGACAGGGCCCTGGAAAATGGGTCTAAAAGAAAAGCCAGCTTATTGTTGAACAACTGAAGCGTCCCTTATCTTCAGGGGAGCCTTCTCCTTGCATCTGACAGGGTTAGATGTATGCGTAAAGTGACTGGAACACTGTTGACTGGGGACATACAGCAATGAGGAGGATTGTTGTTTTTACTGATACATAAACTGAAAAACTGCTGCTAATGGTGGGAAATGTTAATTATGTGAGAACATATTGAACTTACATTCTCTGGCATGAACTTTTTTAAAAAAAAGAATCAACTGTGCTGC